GAAGCTTCCGCGAGGCTTGGCTCCAGGGGGGGGTTACCGAGGAATAGCCCCGCTCTGTGAATCCCTCAACTCTGGTGATGGGAGCGGACTGGGGACCGACTCCTCTAATCTACCAGGAAAGAACCATCTGTGGCCTCGCCCGTCGAACGTCCTGTTGGAACGCGAGGCCATATGGATCAAGACGGTGAGCCACAGTGGAGCTCAGTGAAAACAACCTTCCCGCCGATCATCCGAACTGGCGGGAAAAGGCGAGGGACGTAGAAAAAAGGGGGGGTCCCTTCATGTCAGCCTCCTCCTGGGTTCCGCCGGGCAACCCCTGAGGGCGCTGTCGGCCGGGAGCGGTGTGATCGCCGATGCGAAACGAGGTGGGATGGGGTGAGCATTCACTCAGCCCCCCTCCACCTACACTACGCTCCCCAGGAGGGAATGAGCAGCGGGGGCTGCAGCTGAGCACGCCTTGCCCCGGAGGAACCATCCGGTTCGCCCCGAGGGTCGGCGATAAGAGGAAAAAACACAAGATGGCGTTGTCCAGCGTGTAGTGACCTGTCACTGGGAAATGTTCCCCGACGCTTACCTTGGAATAAGACTGCTCGTCATCTTCTCCTCGGGGAGGAGAACTCACCGGACGACCGGAGGTCGACTGCCGGGCCAAGCATCCTTCACAAAGGTTGGTCATTTACACAATTTATCCTCTTTGTTCTTCTGACAGTGCTATATTAGCTCGCTGAAGAAAAAATGGGAGCCGATTTCCCGCTCTTAACGTAATTTATACGGACCGGGTGGGGCCCACACAGCAGGTGGGCGTGGACTAATTTTTTTTCAGTGCTTATGCTCTGCATAACGGGATAAACCACTAAAGCGAAGGCCTTAAAGGGCGAAGCTTATACGACATAGAACTTATTATTTTTGCCCCTTCTTAAACAAAATCAATTCAAACAATCAATTCAATCAATAATCATCTATAAATAATACAACAAAATTACATAACTGATCACAATTTTTCCATTTATATTTCGTTTGATATTAACTACCTTAAATCTATATGTATCTATTCAACAATATGTTCTTAATCTTTTTCTTAAATATAAACATTGACTTTGATTTTTTTACATCATCATCCAAACTATTCCAAAAACCTATTCCCTGTATTGAAGTAGACCTACCCCTTAAACTAGTCCTATACTTTGGTTTCACAAAAATATCTGTTCCCTTTAGATTATAACAACTTTTCCTTTTCACAAAATATGCTTGAATGTTCGAGGGTAGTATATAATTCTGAGCTTTATACATTAGTAGGAGAATATTATAATCCACCAGATCATAAAACTTAAGTAATTTCAATTTATAAAATAAAGTAGTTGTAGGATGACAGTAATGTTTTCTTGTTATAATTCTTATAGCTCTTTTCTGTAACACAAAAATAGGCTTAGTTATAGTTTTACAAGCTGTTCCCCAAACATCAACACAGTAAATTAAATGTGGGACTATAAAAGTATTGTACAGCAAACACAAAGCATTATCATTCAAAAGATCCCTTACTTTATACAGTACTGCCATGGACTTAGATATTTTAGTTTTTACAAAATTTATATGTTGTTTCCATGACAGTTTATCATCAATAATTACACCCAAAAACCTTACCTCATTCACTCTACATATCTCAACACCATCAATTTTGAAAGGAAAATCCACAGTTATCTTTTTTTTACTAAATATCATAAAATTAGTTTTAGCAACATTCAATGATAATTTGTTTAATTTAAACCAAGTTTGTATTTTAACAAACTCCATCTTCATTAACTCAAACATCTGTTCCAAGTTTTTACCCGAACAAAAGAATGTGGTATCATCAGCAAATAAAACACCTTTCAGGATACCAGACACCTCAATTAAATCATTTACGTATAAAATAAACAACTTAGGTCCAAGAACTGAACCTTGAGGTACTCCACATGAGATACTGCATAGATTAGAGCATACATCATCAATCTGTACAAACTGTTTTCTGTCCCTCAGATAACTAGATATCCACTGTAGAGCTGGACCTCTAATACATACTGTTTCAATTTTTCAAGTAGAATGGTGTGGTCAATGGTGTCAAATGCTTTTTTTAAATCAACAAATATGCTTATACAATGTTGTTTTTGATCTATCGCTGTAGTAACTTGTTCTATCAACTCCATAAGAGCCATGGATGTTGAATTTTTTTATCTAAAACCATACTGACTATTACTTAAAATATTATGTTTATCAAGAAATTTATCTAATCTGGACACAAATAATTTTTCAAGAATTTTTGAAAATTGTGACAACAAAGATATAGGTCTATAGTTGCTAAATATACATTTTTCACCATTTTTAAAAAGAGGAACTACCTTAGCTATTTTCATTCTGTCAGGGAATATTCCTTTTGAAAATGATAAATTACAGATATATGTGAATGGCTCAATAACATGACCCATTATTTCTTTCACAACCATCATATCCATGTCTTCACAATCTTTAGATCTTTTGTCAGTAAATGTTTGAACTACCTTCATTATTTCTTCTTTATCAGTTCCATCTAGAAACAGACTGTTTACACAACCATTGATTAAATAACTCACATTTTTATCCACTTTAGGAATTGGAGCTGCAAGATTAGACCCAACATTTACAAAATAATTATTAAATCCATTAACGATTTCATTTTCATCATGAATTTCCACATTATTTTCCACAAAATGTTGTGAAAGTCCCATATTATCCTTGTGTTTTTTTATAACATTGTTCATTACTCGCCATGTTGCCCTCATGTCACCACTACATTTGTGTAATAATTCACTATAATATTCTCTCTTATGTTTCCTTATAATCCCTACTAATTTGTTTTTATACTTTTTATATTTATCTTCAGCCTATTGAGTTCTGGATTTCAGGAAACCAGAATACAGATAATTCTTTTTTTTACATGCGTTTCTCAATCCTTTAGTCATCCATGGATGATCAAATGTATTTTTCTTTATATAATTTTTAATTGAGGGATTCCCCAGTTTCCATGGTTTCTCCTCAGGTGCCTCATTTGAGGGATTCCCCAGTTTCCATGGTTCCTCCTCATGTCATCATTAGAGGGATTCCCCCGTTTCCATGGTTCCTCCTCAGGTCATCATTTCAGGGATTCCCCAGTTTCCATGGTTCCTCCTCAGGTCATCATTTGAGGGATTCCCCAGTTTCAATGGTTTCTCCTCAGGTGCGTCATTTGAGGGATTCCCCAGTTTCCATGGTT